CCTGCATTATTTTCCGGACAACCCGATATAACCAGATGCCTGATGCGAAGTATGTAATAAAAAACTTGTACTAAGTTGCTCTAGTGCAATTAATTAATAAAAAAATTAAAAAAAAGATTTCACGAACTTGCTTCAAATAAACAAATAGCCATAAATATCTTTGATTTTTTTTTTTAACGTTGAAAACTGGTGATGTAAATCTACTATTTCAAAACCTAGAAACCAGCAAATTTCTGCAAACTTACTCCATTTAATATCCTTTTTAGTGGTGTAATTGCTTTTCGAATTACTTTTTTCAGAGATGAAGAGATTTATGAAGGAAAGGAAAACACCATGGTTGAAGTAATGGTAAAGTTGAACGATAAATAATAATAAAAAATAAAAACTTAAAATTTTGAATGAATTTATTAAACATTTTAAATTTTGATTAGAAATGCTCTCCACCCTCCGCAATTTATTTTCGATGCGTTGCCATCGCATTAAACCAGCAAAACCCGCACATAAGATGTATATCAGCATATTTTTCATTAGAAAATGTACCCATATATAACTAAAAATGTTTTGAGTCTTAAAACTCTTTTATTCCGGAGAATATATTACAATAATCCTTTAAACAAAGTCGTGTTGGAAAATAACTAACTACTGAGATTCAAGCCATGGTCAATTAGGACTTTTTGGTCCATTGAATGTAGAATCTGCCGGCAAAGTTTGTAACACAAGTAGCTTAACACCCTGAATAACCGTGAAATACACCCAGAACAAATTTAGAAAACTACATTTAAATTTTTTAATCATTTTTATATGTTCAGTAATAAATTTATCCCACCTGTTTTTTTATTGGGTAAGCTTGTTTCCCTTTAATTCTGTTAACAATGGGTTCATTGTTGAGCCATTCCCTTGGCGTCGATTTAACTGTGAATTTCTCTTACTCTCTTACCCTCTACTTGCTTGATTTTAATCTCTATCCCAATTACGCATGAGTCAAAATTTATCATTTAATCGCTTATGCGTAAGCAAAACTTCCATTTACTTTATACAGGGGGAGGGAAGCTTTATTTTCTTTTATTTCCGGTTATTTATCTCAACTTTGGTTGTCATTAAATTATCTTGATCTACTAATATGTAGTTTATGAGATTTTCTTGTACTATAATGGACTCTATTTCAATACAACAGCTATTAAAATTAATTACCTTGAAAAATACGAAATATTTTAACAAAAATTAACTTTGATATCTGAAATGAATATTCATGTATTGGGTTGTCCGGAAAATAATGCAGGATTTTGGTATTAAACAAAAAAAAAGAAACTAGTTACTTTAAAGCAATGTTCTTTAATCAAAATAATTTCCCATNACAAATGAGTAATCCTGTAAACGTAAACAGAATATTTTATATAGATTTTTTTTAATGAAAACTTAAAATCCTGCATTATTTTCCGGACAACCCAATAGTATGAGTTTCATTTTTCCCTAAATTTACCCACCTGCATTACCAATAACTTGCTGGAATCAGACAAAAAGTATTCAAAGTCCATTACAGAAACGTAACACAGGGGTTTATTAAACTGCAAGAAAAATTCTCTTCTTCACACATTCTTTTTTTAAATTTTATTTATTTATTTTTTTTAAAGGCATAAAACCACTAAGGGTCATAGCTGCCTTAAAACATCCACTAATGCAGCCTTCCCACTGCGCGAACCGGAGGGGCCCCGGCCCCAGAGAGGAAGAGGCCCAGAGGGCCAGCCGTATTGCAGAGGGATGAGCATTATAAGCAGCGTGATGTTATCACTGAACTAATGTTGTTTTGGCTCTCCTGAAAGGATGTGCATGAATATCCACATCCCTCAAGACCACGAAATTAGTGAATTTGAAATATAATCGTCGCCTGGAACTTCTCTTACTAACTGCCCTGAAATAGCTGCCTCTCTGGCTGCCCTATCCGCAATCTCATTTCCAGCAATGCTGCTGTGACCAGGAACCCACAAGAAAACAACCTCAAACCTCTCTGAGAAAGACCTTTTAATGCCACAATATTTCCTGGATGAGATGGCTATGTGTGAAGGGATCATTCAGTGCTGACAAGGCAGAGAGCGAGTCGGAACATATTAATAACATTTTACTTCTTTGGCAGATTATATTTATACATTTATTGCCACTAGCTCAGCACTAAAATTGCAACACATTGGAGAAAGAGAGAAAACATATTTCCTATCATTGGACGTAAAAGCAGCTCCTACTTCATTTGAGCTTTTCGACCCATCAGTAAATGCTAAGGTAGCATGCGGAAGACTCGCTAAGATTTCTAAAATTTTTTGTTTGTATGCATATGGTAGGGTGTTTTCTTTTTTGAGTTTTGCGAGTTGTAACTGACAATTAGCTTTTGGTGCCAGTGGTGTTGGTTTGACTGTGTAAAAATAAGGGAGTGCGTACAGTGAAATGTTCCAGGGCATTCTTATTAATTACAACTAAATGCGTACATGTTATGGAGTCAGCTGAGGCTAATAAATATCAATTTTTGAATATTAATATTTTCATCTCCACCTCTGAACTTAACCCCATGACCGTGACGCTAAAAATGCAATAAAAACCATAATTAAAAGAAAATGGCAAAGTGGGTTGGAACAGCAGAGAAATGCTCAAGAGCTCACCCAATTAAGTGAGGTTGACATGCAGACACTTACTTTTGGTTCAAAGTATACGTGTCCAGCAGAGAAAAGTTACTTGATATGTTCCATCTAATAGCATAGATTCATAAGGTGCGACTCTTTGGCTCCATATAGAGAGCATGTAGGAACGTCAGTACGAAAATGCTTGAGCGCAGCAGCGAGTATTTTTCAGCTCCCCTGTTCTAATTTTTAGAAGAAACAGGGTTGTTTTACTGTATACAGTATTGAAAATCTTGTGTACCTGTATGCATTGAGAGTGAATGTATTTATTAGTGTAATAAATAGCGTGTAGTGTGAGATGGCCGATGGCAGAATACTGAGTACCTATCGACCCTCAATTAGGTTAGTTAAAGGGTGATGGAGGAGTGTAGAGTACTCCTCCACCCTAATTGGCCGATTGGTTTGTAAATAGGAAAAAATGTATTTATGACTGAATGAATTTGGTTTTAGGAACTGATTTCATTGGGTGCTAAATTTACCTGGCTGTTGGCAGCACCTAGAGCCCAACCTCTGAGACTAGATAGGTAAAACCAAGGTCTGACCCCGGACTGCCAACACCCTGGGTGATTTTCAAGGTCTGCTGGAAATTTATTGCAGATTAAAAAACCTGTACTTTCCAGTAAACTACAAACAAAACTAATCCATTATACTTTAGTGACTGGGAGCTTTTGGTGGCCGTGACAAGGGCCAGTGTTGTTGAGACAATGTATTGAGGCCGGGACCAAGTGTGTGTGCTTGTTGGTAGAGAGAGCAGCTGGCTGAGGTCCGGGGATATAAGTTGGCTGACACTACATTGGTTGAAGGGACTCTGGTGCAGCACTTGGCCAAATGCAACTGTTTGCCTGTAGCAAAATCGGCTAAGTTGAGAAGGTGAGTTCAAGGTTAATGCTGAGAGTACCCTTATCATTGTCGTAGGTGCTTCATTAGTGATAAGCGAGAACTTTTCGGGGTCTTGAGGTGATAGGTGAGACCTCATCAGGTTGACGAGTCCGAAGGTATGAGTGAGACCTCGTCGGGTTGATGAGTCTGAGGGTATGATTAAGACCTCATTGGGTTGACTAGTCTATGGGTATGAGAGACCTCGTCAGGTTGACGAGCCTGAAGCCAATGGGCCCCTGCTTATATAAGCACTAGCTCTGCTCTGATTCGCTGCAGAGTGGAGGGGAGACCATTCGAAAACCAGTAGTGACAGCTAACGGGTACCGTGGTAACCATAGGTTTCCACTATACAGCTCCCAAATGGGCGAGCCTCTCCAAGCTATGGACCAATGTTGTAGTGTGGCATGTTCTTCTAGAAAGTTCCTCCTGGTCCTTAAAATATTCTCAGGAACATGATCATGTCATCACGTCGGGGTCACCAGTTTAGTGACGATGTGCAATGGACCTGACCAAGACAATTTGATGGACAGCAGAGTCCTTCCATTTTTTTTTTTTTTTAATTCTTCTTTTAATGTTGTATTTTTGAAGGGCTAAACATTGAGCTTTGGATGTAGCTGGATAAGAGTAAAAAACCAGGGGCCAAAGCCAAGCTTACATCCAAAAAAAATTATGGTAACGTCTGGAGGTCATCTGCTGGACTCATTCATTACAGCTTCCGCAATCCGGGTGCAATCAGTGCTGAAAAGTACTGTAACAAAATTAATGATATGGACCGAAAATTGCGACATTTATGGCAGCTTTAATCAATCGGAAGGGCCCACCCCCCTCCGACAAGGCACGCCCTCATGTCACACAACAGACTCTGGCATGACTTCAAGGGTTGAGTTACAAAGCTTTACCACATCCACCATACTCACCGGATCTTTCTCCTACAGATTATCACTTTTTAAACATCTCAACAACTTTTTATGTGAGAAACAATTTAAAAGACAGAAAATCATTAAAAATGCATTTCAAGAGTTCGTCGATTCCAGGGACCCTAGTTAAGTGATTGTACTTTTAGTAAAAATTAAGATTTAAAATATATTGGTGTTTAAAAATGAACCTCTCTTGTAGACGCGATTGTTATACAGTTTATCTGCCCCCAAAATAACCATACTTATACATAGCAAAGGATGTTCAGTAATTTTTGGACATATGGAAGTGCATTCTTCCAGTTCTGTATTGTAATAAATTGTTTATAATTCAAAGCTTAGAAACTGCCTGATTGTCAGAACCTCATGCAACTGGCATGACCGTGCACTCTTTGAGCATAGCCCGTTTGTAAATTTTTTTGAGAAAACTGAACTGAGAATATTTGGTATTTTTACATCAGCCATAAATAATAATTGTCATATGTTTTTTTAAAAGCTACATTTTAAAGTTAAAAGCTAAATTTTTTAGCTTGCCTCATACCTGGTTGGTTTTGTCCAGTGCTTGATCTTTTTTTCTCAAGCCATTTTTCCAGCTCCAGCTTTGCGCCTAGTGGTTCTTTTCCCTTGTGTGAGAGGGTTGTCCCTTTGGTTAGTGGTAGTCAAGGCAACCTAGCATTTTCCTAGAACCGTTAAGCAACTTTCACATTCCCAGACTAGTTTGGAGCTAAAAATCATACAGAATTAGTGCCATTATAGTTGCTGTCAAAAAGTATGTAAATCCAATCACCTTTCATATTCTTTTTCAGCCACTTCTTAAGCAGAGTTGGATTGAAAGAACCTCAGCTTGAAAGACAGTTGGGACCAGCCCACGTTTTGATAGAGTATAATTCAGCCCCTTTACCCCTACAATCTACTCCTTGGTCCTCTGATCCATCTTTACCATTTTAGGATTCTTTCCTGAAACTTGGAGTTGCCTTTTTTTCCAAAGATCTCTTATCTACCTCTTGGATTTGTCCTCTCATTTTGTTTGATTCTCCTTAGATCTGGTTTTATTTCTTGGTTCTCCATAGTCCGTTGGCATTTTTGAAGCCACCAATACTTGAAGGCGTAAGAGTGGGATGGAATTTAACATTGCTGTCGTAGGATGCATTACCCCCATTAAGACTTTTGGTACTTTGTTACCCATTTTTTTATTACAAAAAGAAATGGGTCGCAAAAAATGTTTTAGACCTCTTCCGCATTGAAAGTTGTCGTGCTTACCCTAGGGAGAGAAGAGTGAACAAAGTTTGGTCAAATAAATAATGAAAGAATGTGATTTTAAAAAAGAAATATGGGAAATGATGCGGAATTGAGATGCGGAGAGGAGCAAAATAGGGCAATGACTGGGGTAAGGAGGTGAAATCGTATCAGGCAGACCGAGAAAAGGCATCAGCATTTAGCCAGAATTTTCTCCTCATTTGTATCGACATGGATCAAGTGCTCGGAATGTTTCCCAGAAGGGGATTTTTGCAAGGAGCTCAATGAAAAACTGAAATGGAAAAAAACGGCTTGTAATAAATAAGACATTTTTATCCTGTCTAGGATAGCAAAACCTTTAATTACAACCACCAAATAATGTCATAGCGCTTTAATGCAAAGTTAAAAAATAAAATTGGTTACAAATCCCTTAAATTAAAAAAATAATAATAAAATAAAGAATTGAAAAGAAGTCGATGCAGTGAAATCAGCATGTAAAAAGCAACAACAGACTAGAATTTATTCACACGATAATTAATTGGAATAGAAATTTAAAAAAAAAAAAAAAGGAGGGGGTCAAAGCGAATAGAAAAATAATACTCTCAAAATATCTTAGACATCCCAAATTACAACGAAAATCTGCTTTGGCAGGAATAAAAATTGTCATAACTTATAATTATTATACAAAATTCTATCACAAGTGACATGTAAATTATAATTGTAAATAATGATAATAATAATAATATATAAATGATGTGAAATGAAGCTTTTTTTTTTCTTACAAAAATAACTGGGATTTGATAAAAATATTGCACAATTTTTTGAGTTTTTTGTTTGTTTTTAAAAGTGTTGGAAACTACTTTTAAATTATTGAACCTCTTCTAATATGCTCTATTACAAAAATTGTATATTGTATTGTATAAATAATGCTTTATCGAAAACAGCCATTCTAAATATACTTTACAATATAAAAAGATAGTTTTTCTGAACACTTTGTTTTAAAAAAAAATTGTCTGGAGACATTTCTATAAGAAAAAATATACGAGGCATTTGGTTTTTGCTAGTACATCATACAGAAGTGAATAATTAATGATTAGAAGCCACAATTTAAAATGTCAGATGATCAATTTTCGCTTTTTCCATCAGAGTAAAAAGGCTGGGCGTGCTTTACAATTTGTATATGGAAAATAAGAGGAATTGTGTGCCATGGGCTACAGCCTGTTGAAGGTTTAAGATTGCACTGGACTCAATTTCATTGCCTGGTGTATTTCAAAATTCGAAAATTTTAACCACTTAGGATGTGATTTAAACTATGGCAAGTGATCAACAGCTAAAAGAAATAAATATCAGCAAGGGCATTTACAATTTCACTGTTTTTACGAACTCTAAACCGAGGCACTACAATTAGTACACTTTTACTTGCAAACACCTAGTGTCTTTTTATTATTTTCTATTATTGAATAATTCATTCTCAACAAAAAATTCACTTTTAAATTGAAAAATCTTTATATAATGCTTAATAAGGTTTTGTAAACTTTATTTTTTTCTAATGAATATTCTACCCTCCTAGAAGAAATGCTGTCCTCTGTCCAAAATCTCCAAATTTTTTAAATTTACCACTCTATTCTTAGGCAAGTTTCCTATTAAAAAGCTTGTTAAAATTGACATAAATCATTCCAGAAATATTAAAAATATCAATTTAAAATTATCTACAGCTTAAAACATTTTGGGGGAAATACTTTTATAGATTTTAATTAGAAAAAAAGCTTTCAGGATTATAAAAAAGTAAGGTGAAGACTCTAGGCCAAATTTTTTTTTAAATTTGACAGCTTAGCTGAAGCCTTTCAGCATGAAAAATTATGAAAACAGTAGATAAGACAGTAATAAGACTACTTTTTAGCAAGGCAATGTTGTGATTTGAACAATTCACTGGATACTTAACGACTCACGGAGAGAAAAAAAACATGCATTTCATGGCTGAATACGTATGTTATTAAAGGTATTTACAGTAAAAGTATTTAATTTTTAAGGCATATGCAAAATAGATTTTTTTAAATGATAGTCAACAAATGATTACTATCCAAATCCTATAGAAATGTCTCCTTATTTAGATTATTTATTCTAGTGCATTAGTTATCCAACGAAATAAATAAAAGAAAAACCACTTTTTATCAGTTCAAAAGCAAAATGCAATATTTTAAAAGTTATAAAATAAGAATAAATGTTTTAAAGCACAGAGACTTTAATATAATAACAGTGTCGTAAATAAACAGAATAATATAACAATATATCCACAGTACTTTAAATTTCTCCCTAATACCTAGATCCTAATATTGTCAACAAGGTCAATATTTCAATAACCAATTTTCAATAACCAATTATATAAATGATATTTTCATTATACAGAAACCTCTGTATATGCCCAATTTTGAACCGCTTTAAATAAAATTGGTCAATCAAAATTGAAAAAACGGAAGCACCCAAGGTAGTTTTATTATACTCTTCTAAAAATTGCTTTTAAGAAAGAAATCACAGAAATGCTATAAAAAACACTGACTACTTTAACCTTCGATCGACTGAACGATTGAAAATCCCCTGTCTGATATGTAGCATTATATGGAACTTTCGACAACATTAAAATTTCCAGTAACTTATAATTAAAAAAAAAACTTATGGGAAAGGTAGTTCGTTGTGCCGACTTGTGTGTAGATAGCTACGGATCTGGAATACTTAAAGCTTGATCAAAGACTGCTACACGTGGAACACTTTGGTAATGGCTGGTCTCCCAGGGCGGCCCTCACTGGTTCGTACAAGGCACCCACAACGTCTTGTTCTGTTCTGCGTCGACTGCAGCCTTAATTTGCGTACACATGTATGCGATGTTCACACCCGCTGCTGGTATCACAGCTGCAAATTGAAGAAAAGAAAAATTATATTGTGAGATTTCTCCTTGTCTTGTGAGCCTACAAATGTAGTTAATTTCATTATATTTAGTGGTCTGATTGACCAAATTACTTCTTTCAATTAATTAATCTTTTTATGTAATGTGTTTTGGTTGAAATGAAAAAGTTAGTGTCATGAGCGGGATTCGAACCCACGACCTTTGGCTCAATACGCCGCTACTCTACTTGAGCTATCGTGACGAAATCTTCGACAAAATCGTGTAGCAGTCACGATAGCTCAAGTGGTTAGAGCAGCGGCATATTGAGCCAAAGGTCGTGGGTTCGAATCCCGCTCGTGACACTAATTTTTTTCATTTCAACCAAAGAACCTTTGAAAGTAGTTGTTAATGATAATTTTCTGTCTGTCAGACACATTTTTCTCACAATTAATTATTCTTTTTTATGTAAGGTTTTTGGTTGAGATAAAAAAGTCAGTGTCATGAGTGGGATTCGAACCCACGACGGCTAAATATGCATCTGCTCTCCCACTTGCCATTTTCAATTGACAATTTTGGTAAAAAGAGGGAAAATTCAAACGGTTGTAGTTTGAGATGAGGAGTTGGTGTCCCGAGTGGATCGAAGTCATGATTGCTCATGTGGTTAGAGCAGCAGCATATTGAGCCGAAGGTCGTGGGTTCGAATCCCGCTCGTGACGCTAACTTTTTCATTTAAACCAAGAAACCTTACATAAAAAGATTAAATTAATTGAAAGTAGTTGTTAACGATAATTTTCTGTCTGTCAGACACATTTTGTCATTTCATCATCTTCAGTGTGTCTGGCATATGAGCACCTAGCAAGGATAAGCTATAAAAAATAAAAAACTATACTAATTAATTAAGGTTTTTAGTTGAGATAAAAAAGTCAATGGCACGAGCGGGATTAGAACCCACGATCTTCGGCTTGATACGCCGCTGCTCTACCACTTGAGCTATCGTGACTTCGATCCACTCGGACACCAACTTCCCATCTCAACCACACCTTTTGAATTTTCCCTCCTTTTTGTCATTTTTCAATTTTTTTATCTAAACTAAAAACCTTAATTAATTGTAACATATCGGGTTGGATTCTCAACGACAAATGAAATGGCCACGGAGAGCTTTAGTGAAGTATACTTCATTTTTAATCATTAAATTCACTAATTTCGTGGTCCGCTTGACCACTTAATATATTACAATTAATTAAGGTTTTTAGTTGAGATAAAAAAGTCAATGGCACAAGCGGGATTCGATACTAATTATATCTCAATAGTATTTATTTTACTATTACTTATTGTTAACCTTGTGGGCGTATTTTATTACTCCCCAACTTTGGCATATTTTTCCTTTTTCATTTGGAGCCATACATATTTCTCCTTTAACGCTTAAACTTTTGTTTATTGTGGCTATCCTGCAATATTTTAATTTTTTTCTATTCTTTTCTAATTCTTCTCGATGGTACGGTATCTATATCTGAATGGCTCATGTACGGCTTTTCCAGGTACCATATATATTATGCAGGGTGGGCGTCCAAGATCCAAGGGGTCAAATGCCTAGGTAGGCTCGTACCCCATCCGTAAAAGGTCCAGGACTTGGTCGGCTCACGTGTCCTGCATAAATCTCTTGGACCTGTTCACAAACCCCAAGATTTTGGACCATTTAATCTCGGGGAGTGATTTAGTTATGTCCACTCCTTCAAAGATTTCAAATCTAGACCTAGTGTACCTATCACACTCTGCGAGGTAGTGCCTTGACGTTTCTTCTTTCATTTCGCAAAAACGGCAAAAGAGGGATCTGGTAGAATACCTATTACGAAGAGGTGTCTTCTCAGTGTTCCAGGTACCATAGCTTTTTTCTAGCTAGTGTAGGGCAGTATATATTATGTCATTTTACTCTCTTCTGAACATAATCAACAGTGTTCATTTATTGATTTTTTTCTATTTTTATGATTGTGTTTAACTAGATCATGTCTTGTAAATATACTGTAAGCTGGTCCCCATCTTAGTGTAAGTAGAAAGTTGTTAAAATATTTGTTAAGAATGTCCGATATATGTTGGAAGTAAGGCCTTAGGATCTGAAGGGTCACCTTTCCGGTAGGGAGCAAACAGACGTTTCCCACAACCTGGAAGTCATAGGAACTCGATAGACTAAATGACAATCTATGTTATTTAGTGTGAGAAGGTTGTCGCAGGCATAGTTCATCCAAATATGAGACACTATAAATTTGGGGTCACGTCAGCTGGGTCGGCGATGTACATTCTTTTCTGAGGTATAATGGAAAATCCTGAAAATCCTACAATTATTGCACAGTCAATTCTTGCAAGAAGGAATTGGCAATCACACCCAACTGTTTTTGCTTTTCCTTTCCTCCGTTATTCTCTTTGGGAAAAAAAGGGGTGATTTGGAAAGCAAAGTCAGTCAACTCTGGGAAGAGATGAACTCGGTGGCTCACAAAATCTAAGGCAGTGATCGAGATGAGTTGAATAGAGTCAACCTCTAAAAAGCAGCCCGATGTAGGACGAGTCAACTGTCTCAGAAGTAGTCAAGCACAAGCTGGATTAATGTCGGCCTCCAGGTGCCTTATCAGAGGGCACACGAGGGTTAGGGTACTAGATCCTGTCTGCATAGTCTGGGGAGGGTGCATAACCATCTTACTACAGGGTAGCAGAAATGTTCCAAAGTCTAGTCCCTGCTACATTGGGAATGGATTCGTAGTGGTTTAGTGGCGAAAACTTAGAGAAGAGGCTGTTCTTCTATATGTGACCTTTGCCCAAGCACTTGCCACCCTGCCTTATGGTATACAAAGAATCAGACCATTGAAGTGTATAGCATTGAGGACACTTAGACTATGCTGACGGTGTCCCTCGAATAAGTGAGAAGTGGCAGATGGGAATGGATAGTGGTCGGTGGTGCCTATATGAATGGCGTCCTTTACCGAAGGCAGTCTCTTCTAGGGGGTGGTTAGACATTCCAGTATAAACAAAACTGCGGCCGGAGCGAATCTGGTAGTTCTTACTCTGGAGGAGTCCCAATACTCAGGGAGATAGAGTTGCCTTCTCTATCTAGGGATAAAGGCGGAAGACCAGACTGATGCATTTCAGCCACTTTGGGCATCTCTTTCTGGGCGCCACACGGTCTGGTGATTAATGCAGGCCCATCCACTCGGAATGGACAGGAAAGTGAGGTTCATCTCGGCCCCTCAGGCTTCTACATGAAAACATACGGCTGTAACACATGCCCAGTTGTAAGCCCAGGTGCATCATCATTTCTAGAATCAAAACGTCCGGTACAGCCAAAGAGATAGGTACGGACATTAAAGATCCTGATGTCCTTTTAAGGACGACTGAGTATATATGGGAACCTACATGTCTCAGAAGTAGGAGGCTCGCCCACACCGCCCCTGTGCTCTGTAAGTGCCTCCAGGAGTATAGGACGAAAGCAAGGGCGATATAGCATGTGAGAATGCAAAGACTACACCTATTATGCCCCAGGATGGTCTGCACTGAAGTGGACAGGGAGCAGTGATGTGTCACTCTAACCTCTGCTGTTCTTGTGACCTATTGCTTTCTTGTCGTTAAGGACCTCTTCGGAAGCCAAACTAAAAGAGGTATCGTGCCCTGTTCATTATGTGAATACTTAGACTTCCGGGGTGGAGCAGGCATAAACTGAAAGGGCGAGTTCGCAAAGCCTTGGAGACACTCGTTGCTCGAATATGAGGGGAGAGGCTGACTATCTCTACACCTGATTATACTCATGAGAAGAAGGGTACCTAAGAATGAACACCTTTAATCTGAGATGTGTTGCACAGCCTGAAAAGATGAGCTCATAGTCTCGGAATTATCTATTGAGGTATTGAGGTGGGGTGGTCGATTCATTCAACGCTTGATCATTCTCAGCGCTCTCATCCATCCAAAGGAACCGTACCCCATCAATTGTGAGATCATTCATCTATAGGCAACTAGGGAGTTCAAGAAAACCAACTGGGCGTCAGAGAGATCGCCAAGGAGCTCCATGAGATCCCGAGCATCGAGTGCGACAGTAAAAACCAGGACAGACTACTATTTGATTTTTTTTGTAATTTTTGTAAGTTGGCCAACAGGAAATTAAGTTTCGAACAAAGTGTTTTCTTTTTATTTATTTAATAGAAGTTGTCTTGTTTATTTTGTCTTTGTAAATTTTACTCAAGCCTGATTACCTTGTCGTCTACTAGAGTCATTATTCCCTGAGAGGAAAAATAGTGCGGCGCCCGAACAATATATTTATTTGTATGGCCCCACAAACTTCTCCACTGAGCTACAAAGAACTTAAGGTCTCTACTACGATTTCTGATCATTGTTAGGGGTTATCAATATCACATTTCTCGTTGCATTTGTATCCTTTGTTTTGAAAATGTCGACCAACTGGTTGAGGACCGAATTTCTTTTATTTCTATTGTGGTAATCATTGTCCACCACTTTCCATAAACATGGTAAACTTTCATACAATTCAATCATCTCAATAATAAAATCTCGATTGGATGTCATTACCAATAAAGAATAAAAGTTTTTGAGAATGTACGACTGAGATGTTTGCTCAGTGACAGAAAGACGGAGACTGCGCCAAAAAAACGTGAGTTTTCCCATTCACGACCAAGCCAGCGTATATTTCACTGTTCATGCCAGGTTTTCCCATTCATGAACATGCCATGCTGTCATCGCGCCATTCCAAACATCTATGTCGTTTGGACCGGTCGAATATTCCTGAATAGCCCTGCACACCAGTTCAGTTTTGCCATTGACGTGGTTTTTGGAACGGTGTCGCTCCGTTTGGACTGCTAGGATCGATCGTGAATGGCCACCTTGAGAAAGCTAGTTCGTCTGTCATTTTCGCAGGCACTGATGAATGTGATCTGAATCTTGGTCGTGGAGCAGAGTCGGGGCTGCATCGCAACAATGAATCTACACAGCCCCGACTCTGCCCTGCAACATGAATCAATTCAAAGAATCTCAGTGCTACTATACTAAGCTTAAGTATTTATTGTGTTCTTCAGTTACCAAAGATCCCTGTTTCTTTTTTAATGTGGCTACGGCTTATGCAACAGAATGGATACGAGCTGTTCCGAGGTTTTTTATAAAGTAATTCAGATATCGTGAGATGCGGTCGGGTGTGATGTAGGTTTCAGAAAAACATTTTCTTTATCGTGCCAACGTTTCGATCTTTTATTGAGATCATCTTCATCAACACGACACACAAGGATGGCACAATTACACAGAAGACAAACATTTTGAGCCCTGAAGATGATCTCAATAAAAGATCGAAACGTTGGCACGATAAAGAAAATGTTTTTCTGAAACCTACATCACACCCGACCGCATCTCACGATATCTGAATTACTATCGACTAACGGTCACTAATCTCTACACGTTTTTTTATAAAGTATATCTGTGGCTTCGTTGCCTGTAATTCCCTCATGATCCACTTTAACATTAGGCTATTTGAAGATCTTTTTTCTTTTTTTTTTTCTGGTTCTTTACACAATTTCAAAGGACTATGGGTTACAATCACAAATTTTCAACCAAATAGCCAAAAAGCAACAAAGAGGAAAGTACAGAATATTTTATTATATTCCTCTCCTACCAATCAAAGAAAATAATAGAAATTGTAACAAGGTAAAAAATTAAAAACGTTTCAACTGACCTGAAATGCAATGCTTATACTCGGACTCGAGCTTGAGCGCATGTTCGTACATCTCCTTAGCGACTTTGGCAGTGACCTTGTCGAGGGGGTAACGCGTGTCTTTTACTTCCTTGATTTGCTTCGTAGATTTGAACTTAATAAGAAGGACGATCGGGTAGATTTGTTGGTGATGGAGTCTCTCAACAGATCCTAGACTGATGTCCAGTATACAATGGATATTCTTTACAAGAAAAAAAATTTGTTAATATTTTATCATTAAACGTTGATAAGAAAATAAACAAACCTTGTCACACATATCTTTGACCGCGGAAACAGAAGTGCATTCAAAGAAGTTGCCTTTCTTTCTATAATCGACAAATACGGAATCTGCTATGCCCTTCTCCATGACTGACTGCGGGCACTGCATCATTTCAGGTCCACAACGTGCAAACTTGTCCGGGAAGTCTTGGATCAGTTTTTCTGTGACGCAGTCTGAAAGTGGGCCGACAACAAGCACAGGTCTCAAAGTGGTGTCTGGAAAAAAAAAAAAAGTAGTTCTAGTCGAAGGATAATTATTTTAACTTACAATTCAACATAGTGACCCTTTGGTAAGAGGCAGGTGATGTCTCTTCATTGAGCGTCCCGCTGTCGCTATACCAACCGAGACTGAAATTCGAAAAGGACGCAAGCTCTTTGGAGTCGGATCGTTGGTGTTTTTTCCGCCTAAAAAAACTCCTCCTTGTTGCCCTCCTCGCCTCACCTTCTAAATCTCCTAAACTTCTTCTCACGACCATCTCTTGCTCGACTCTAGAGAAAATAATTTTTTTTGTTTAGAACAAACTCAAGTAGGTCAATAAGTGCATTACGTACTTGTACTTGCTAGGTATTATTCCGTATTGATCGTGCCTTATACCGTTCTCATCGACGAGCCAAGCCCTCCAGCTTCCGGGCACTCCCCTGTTGAACAAGGTGTGGTCGACAAAAAGGATATCGTCCTTGCGGAACCTCAACTGCAGGCTATCAGCCATGTCTCCGAGCCGGTCAAACATGGCTCTTATATAAAAACTATCACCCGGTTTGTCCTTGATCTCGTTGTATCCTGTAATTAATTAAGTTTATAAAAATTATATATAAAAAAATATTTTTAAAAAAATTGAACTCACTGTCTATACAATACTGCGCTAAAACGGTAACCTTATCAGCAGGCTTGGCAAGTTCAATAGCGGCATCTTCTGCTGTAGCATGTCGGAGGTCGGTTCCATTATATTCAAGAATCCTATCTCCAGTTCTAAAAAAAATTCATAAAATTTAATTTTGCTTATCAAAATCAGCCGAGGACACTCCTGCCCATAACAGCTCCAAAGGGTAATTGACAACATCCTCAATGCCTTCGAACATAAAAAAGTCATGCTGGTGTTATTTCTTGATACAGAGAAAGCTTTCGGCAGAGTATGGCATATAGGACTATTAGCAAAAATAAAAGACAGCCTATCGGACACCTACTATCGACTTATCCTTTCCTACCTGTCGGAAAGAACTTTTTGTGTCAAAGTACAGGATGGCATTTCTGACCCAAAGCCTATATTTTCTGGTGTCCCACAAGGCAGCATTGTGGGGCCTCTCCTCTATTTGGTGAGCGTGAGTGATCTCTCATTCCAAATCCCAGGAACAGTCAAGACAGCACTTTTTGCTGATGATGTGGCTATATTGAGAACAGGGGAAACCAGCGCAGAGGTACAACAGACCCTGCAACAAGTCACTGACCAAGTCTCTGAATGGGTGGACAAGTGGATCGATTTTTGCCTATAGAAAACTACCTGAGTGGTGTACATTGATTATTTTGTCCACTAGGTAAGGCGCCAATAATGCGTCGCAGACACTTGTTGCTAAATGTCATTAACTTTTAAAGTTCCGACATTGAGGCTTGTCCATAGAGTATAAGACCGACGGTAACAATACTGAAGTCATCATTTATTTTCTTTCTCACATGCTTCTTGACTGATACGAAATTATACATTTTTATATAAATCCTACATAATTTACCTTAATCCTGAGTTGTAGGCGACGGATCCAGTTTGAACACTGTGGACATAAATCCCAACAGCGTTTCCGCCGACTAAACTAATTCCAAGATTTGAGCACTTGTGGGTTTCCATCCTCAAATATCTAGGCTCCTCGCTTAAAGAAATACTAAAAATTATAACGTTTATTAAATGTAAGGGTTAAAAATAAAACAATAATACCTTGGGGAAAACGAATGGTTTAGAGAAGGTAATGCTGAATGATTAGGGGGTGGCGATTTTCTTAACGCTCCAGGGCTGTTGCAAGGGGTCGGAGAACCAGATCTTGTTTTGCTGTCGCCACTGCTAGAGCTTCCAGTACCTTCCAGCTCGTGATATTCTAAGAACAAAATTTATACATCAATATGAACAGAACAATTGAATAATTAACAACTCACTTTCTGGACTGTATTGGACAAGCATGGTAATGCTGCTACCGCATTGCCGCAGTACGTTGGCTGCCAACTCGTAAGTCGCGGACCTCATGTTGATCCCGCATACTTCAAGGAGTTGATCTCCCACCCGCAGGCCTACTTGGGAAGCAAGGGAATTTTCATAAACGGTAGAAACAAAAACGCCGCCGGAGTCCAGGCAAGATATCTGGATGCCCAGCGGCTCGACTGATTTGTCTATGTGCACTCTTCTCAACTCCCCGGGTGCGGGCCTGAAAATACACAACCGTTAAATACAATTTTTTATTTTCAACTTGTACTTCAAAGACTCACTTGTGGGTCCAATAATAATCGGGTAAAGATGTGGTTTTATTCTGTCCCATTCCTGGGCTCAAAACTTCTACAAGGAACGAGGGCATAGGGCTTCCTCGTTCCGACGACTTCTCTATACTACCAGATGACACTTTGCCACCGCTATTTTTTGATGCTACACTAGGATTTGAAGGTATCCTGAAGGGGAAAAAAACAGTATTGAAAAAATTTCAACCAGATAAACATTTGCAAAAACATGCCATCCTGATTTTTGGGATGGGGTCGACAATACACATCATTGTACACTACAAAGGAAACATCGATTTGGTTGCTTTATTAAAACTCCTTCTAAGCAAGGGACATGAAAAGTTTGACTAGAAATGCTATAAACTAATAAAATTGTTTGATCTTTCTGAAAAATAGTTATTTACTTACGACTTTCGCCGTTAGCTGCATTTTAAAAATTTAAATTGAGTAACTATTTAGTTAGACTTACATTAAAAGGTAATTTCATCTTAATTATTTTGAGCATTTACATAATTTAATATTAAATTTCTAAAAATGGGTGACTTTCAACTCGAAATGAGTCATTGAATAAAATAGGATTGAAAATTTCACTAAAAATCATTAGTACTTGACTTATCCCACCCAACTAATAACTTCTGCAACTGTCCAGTCCCTTAACAAACCGCACTAAAACTAGAGTGTAAAAAAATCTTGAATCATTATATATGCTACCGTTTTAATTGCAATCCATAAATTCACAAATATAAAATTCTAATAAATAAAACCAAAACCACTCTTTTACAAGGGCAACGAGTAAAGCGTATGGGGCAAATCTATCAAATATTAAGAGGGATCAACCAATTTCTGCATTACAGAAATAACTGAAAATGCTCAAAAGATTATTTTTAAATTTTGACCAAAAATTTTATATTTTATTGCTTTAAAATTTTTCTATTATAGTTGGTGTAAAGGATTTCAATTTTGAACATCGGGAGTGCTTAAAAAAAATTAAATTAAATTCAACTCGCCAAAAAAATTTATGAAACTAGATTTTTGTGCTTTTGGTTTAAGATTTTCAATATGGAGCAACGAAAGTCTGAAATTTTTTCTTGCAAATGATCAAAAATTTTAATTTTTTTATTAAACTAGATTTTCTGTGCATAGTTTGGTGTAAAGGAGCTGCAATTGGAGCAGAAGATGGGCTAAAAAAAAATTCTTTTTATTAATAAACTAGAATTTTGTTCATTTTGTATAAGATTTGCAATTGTGTGATCTGGGAAGTGGTAAAAAAAATTTGAGCAAAAATCTAAATTAAATTTTGTTTTTATTAAACTAGATTTTTTTGTGCATCATTTGATGTAAAAAATTTCAATTTTATGCACCGGAGTGCTCAAGTTTTTTCTTTTAATTTTTAACCAATAATTAATTTTTTTAAAATGAAACTATGTTTTTTTTGGTATCGCTTGAATTGAAAGTTTAGCAATTTTGAGCAACAGAAATACTCAAAATTTTTTCTTAAAATGACAAAAGATTTTTTGTGCATACTTGATGTAAAGTATTTCAATTTTAAGCACTGGGAGTGCTCAACTTTTTTTTCTCCCTATTTTAGACCATAAATTAAATTTTTTTAATGAAACTAGATGTTTTTGTGAATCACTTGGTCTAAAAGATTTTCAATTCTGAGCAACCGTAGTGCTCAAAATTTTTCTTAAAATGACCAAAAATTTTATTTTTGATTTTTTTTTTTTTTTTTGTTAAATTACATTTTTGTGCAGCGTTTGATGTAAAGGATTTCAATTTTAAACACTGGGAGTGCTCAAATTTTTGATCAAAATTTTTTAATGAAACTTCATTTCTTTTGTGAATCACCTGGTCTAAAAGATTTTCAATGTTGAGCAGCAAAAGTGTTCAAAATTTTCTTAAAAATGATCAAAAATTATATTTATTAAAATAGATTTTTCTGGGCATTGTTTGGTATAAAGAATTGCAATTTTATCTAACGAGAGCGAGAGCGCTCAATTTTTCAGAAATTTTTTACCAAAACTAATTTTTTATGTAATTAGATTTTTGTGTATCACGGGTTAGAAGATTTTAATTTTGAGTATGGGAAGTGCTAAAAAAATTCTTCTGATAGATCACAAAAAGTGGATATTCAAACAAACTAAAAACAAACTCCGGAGAAAAGTTACATTTTTTGACATTTAGGTTCCTTTTTCTCGACTTTTGTTAAATATTTTGAACTGCTTATGAATCAATTTGACAAGGACAAAACCTGAAGGTTTCAATGACTTCTTTTTTGAAATAAAATTCTGGAGCTAAGAAAATTTTTTTGAATGATGATAATTAAAAATAGATTTTTACAAAATGTATGTTGCGTCAAAATTTAGAAAACAAAGTTTACAAAAAAACGCCTTGACAATACTCGTTTTCAAATAATTTTTCATTAGTTTTAGGAAAATCTAGTTTGACTGACCTTATTCTTGTTTCTTTTCTTGGGAATGTTCCACCTTCGTAGTGAGAGTGAAAAGATGTGGGATGATGTTCGTTATCCTCACTCGTGTGAGGGTGGTGACTCGCTGCAAGAGATCTCGTCTTGTTATAATGCGAATCGAGTGAAGGCGAGTGAGTGTGGTGGTACTGCAATAATTCAAAAAATTATATTCGCTTTTCTACCCAATTTTTAATTAGTCAAATACCTGAGTATTATATATCGGCTCGAGGCAGAAGCTTCTTACACCTGAGTCCGACTGAAGGAGGTGGTAAGGTGGAGAATGGCTGTGTGTATGAGGGTGGACGAACGGATAATGCGGCGCACCGTAGAGTTGAGAGTGGATACTCGAATGCCCGCTGGTATTGCCACCGCCTTCCGATCGCCCTCTGAGTTTAACATAACATTCCCATAACTCTTTGTTCGCCATGTTTCCTAAAACGGTTAAAATGTGAGCCCGTCGTTTTAACATTTTTTCATTTAGTTCCAGAACCAAGTCACCTGACAGTTCAACATCTTTGAGAGCCAAGAGCGAACAAGCGCCTTTGCCCTCTGAGGGATGCATGGCAAAAGGAGCAGACATGAAACCTCATCCTTGACTTATTTTTTTTAGCATTTGAAATAACAATTACCTGATTTGGAATTGTAATCGTATGTCGAAGCATTATTCCTTCTGCTGGGCGGAGGTTCGCAGCAAGGTGGAAGCGTGTAGCCAGGAGGGTTGTTCAAAATCACAGAGAGCGGCAGTCTTTCTTTGGTCTTTCTCGAATGCAATATCGTCCCGGTTCCTGATTCAATCACAGCCCCACAACTGTAAACAATGGACAATATTGACACATGTTCAAAAATTTGGTTTCAACTAAACAAACCTCGCTTTAGGCCAAGTCCCGCCGTTTTTATCATGGGATGATTTGGGCCGGCGCCTCACTGTGCCTCTAGTCGAGTGGTAGCTTTCGATGACGTTGTCAAGCTCTGCGATCGCGTCGTCCCTTTCTTGTTCAAACGTTACAGGAGACGAGTTTCTATTTCTCTTTTTATCTTCGGTATCCCGCGACCACTTGGAACGACTCGTATCCTGCGACATGCTCGAATTTGGACTGCGCACCTGAGGAACGGGTTTTACCATTTCGCTCTCTGTCTGCGTGCTCATGGAAGATTGCTTGCAGCTAACAGAACTCGTGCTTGACTTTAACGTTGTGATCAAAAGAATATCATTTGCCTCGTTAAGAAGGTTCATAGCTTCCCTCGTACTAGTCATCCCCTCTACTGTTTTATTATTAATCTGAAATTAAATTTTGATCAAACCTTTTCCTTTATTTTGCTTAATTTGTACTACTTACGCTAACGACTCTATTGCCGACTGCAAGGTTGCCCTCCTTTGCAGCAAGAGACCCAGGTGATATTTTTGATATATAAATCCCAGCTTCAAGGGTGATTCCGTGGTCGTATTTACTGAGCTGCAACTGAGTAGTAAACAACCTTCGCCTCCGTACGACCATAACTGCTGTGTTGCCACTTGATTTCATTGTTTCAAGAACAAATCGTTTGCTCACATTGCTGCAGTCGACGTTGTTCACTCTAACAATGCAATCATTTGGCCTAAAAAAAAAAAAAAATATTAAAAAAAATTAATTGTTAACTACTAGTTTACTCCGGTGTTCTCACTTGAGTTTGCCATCTGCAACACTGCCTTTAGTTATGGATGTTACGTAAATACCGCTGTCATTAGGAAAATGAGGATCATCCCTTCCTCCAGCAAGTACAACGCCAAGATCTTCAGTTGACGATAATCCATTCTAAAAATTTATAAAACAATTAGAATTTTTTTTTTTAAATTGTATTTTCGAACTTACAATATCAATGCTTAACATTTCAGAATCACACTCTTGCATGTCAGTGTCGATAGCAGAATCATGGCTGTAGTTGTGCCCCAGGGACGATTGTAGCTGAACGAGTTGGTTTTCTTTTTCCAACTGGGCTTCCATTTTTTCCCTAAAAGTTTATTGCGTCAAACAAACTCTGATATTTTTTAAGCGCTGTTAAATATACTCACTTGAGAACCTTGAGCTGTTTAGAGGTTTCATTGCGTTGTTTCTTGATATCGTCGCTGTCTCTCAGGGCTTCGGCGAGATCTGAAACCGCACGGTCTCGTTCCTTTCTCAGACGGTCGCAGAGCGTGCGAATGCTTTCTCGTTCGAGCACAATTTTATCTCGCTCGCTAAACGCCCAGTCGCGACGCCTTTTGCACACCTCTGCTTCTTGCAACGCTTCAGATAACTCCGTTTGGAGCTTGTCTACTTGCTTGTTCAACCGTTCGATCTCTTGGTTCGCCTGGTCGAGGTTGTCCATCCTTTCTTTTTGACACTTGCCATAGAGATCCATCGAACTGGACTGTGTCTCCCGGTGATCTTTACGCCCAGAATCCCTGTAATTTTAAATAGCAAATTTAAACCAAATTCAATTTTTTTTTTTTAATAATGAAGTACCAGTCTCTATACGATGAGTCGTATCTGGCCTTCAAACTGTCCCTTTGGCTCTCTTCTTTAAATTCACCGAACTTCTGTCGAAGGTCATTGCATTCTTTTAAAGCCTTGTCGCGGTCGTGTAAAGCCGAGGCGATTTCCCTTTGGAGAGTTTCAATTTGATATGAAAGCGCTTTTTTCTGTAACACAATTTCAAAAATAAAATTTAAAGGAAAAAATCATTATGCAAACATGCTTTATCTTAAATTGCCACCCTTCACCAAGCAAATTGAAATTTCTTCACAAGAGTGAAAATAGACCGTTGTCAATTGGTCTTCTTTTTTTTTTTTTTACTAAAAGATGTCATTTGTAATGTACACAATCTATAGTAAACATTAGAAGATATATCCTTATTTTTATTTGGAAACCGTTATCATTATAGATAATCAACAGTGGAAGAAAAAATAGTATACAAAAAGAAAATGATAAAAACAACGAAAGCACTTGTTTATGAATTTATCTGCAAAGTATATATTATGATTAATACGGGTGTAATAAATTCAAAAAATACAATCAATTATGTGTGGTATTTAGTGACCGTTACATGATGATTATTCGGAGATCGTGAGATGCAGTCTGGTGTGATGTAGGTTTTAGAAAAACATTTTCTTTATCGTGCCAACATTTCGATATTTACTGAGATCATCTTCAGGGCCTGGGATTCATAAACATAGTTTAAATTTTACACATACATATCGGATGTGAAAAAAATGAATTTATACAATGCTAGAAAATTTTAGATTAAAAAATGAATTTATGCAATGCTAAAAATTTTTAGATTAAATAAATGAATTTGTGCAATGCTAGAAAATTTTAGATTTAAAAAAATGAATTTATACAACGCTAGAAAATTTTAGATTTAAAAAAATGAATTTATACAATGTAAGACAATTTTACATTAAAAAAATGAATATATACAATGCTAGACAATTTTAGATTTTAAAAAAATGAACTTATCCAATGCTAGAAAATTTTTTGAATTTATACTCACTCAAAGTGTTTGTTTTCAATGTAGATGTGTCATATCACGACAGACAAGAATGACGCATCTTTGAGTGAGTACAAATACTTTGATTGAATCGAAAATTTCTAAAATTTGCTAGCTTTGTATAAATGTATTTATTTATTTAATGTAAACTTGTCTAGCATTGTATAAATTCATTTTTTTAATTTAAAATTTTCTATCATTGTATAAATTCATTTTTTTTCAATCTAAACTGTCTAGCATTGTATAAATTCATTTTTTTAATATAAAATTTTCTAGCATTGTATAAGTTCCTTTTTGTAATCTAAAATTTTCTAGCAATGTATAAATTTATTTTTTTAATCTAAAATGTTCTAGCATTGTATAAATTCATTTTTTAATCTAAAATTTTCTAGCATTGTATAAATTCATTTTTTTATCCAAAATTTTCTAGCATTGTATAAATTCATTTTTTTCACATCCTACATGTATTTGTGAAATTTAAACAATGTTTATGTAATACATGCAAAAAATAAAAACTAGACACTTTGTTTTCTTTAATGAAACAATAAATTTGAGTAAATGGTTGTAAGTCGAGAAGATACTGCCTGAGTAGATGCTTTGGCCAATGACGCGCGTAGTGTCTATTACTCAAGTGCTGAGTGTGGATGGTACACAATGATCTTCTGAGGTTTAAAAACACCACAAGTCTCGATCAAAATGGTCAAACTAGAGACGATAATTTTATTGCTCTTACTGTACTACGTTACTTAAGGCTTCTTTGATAACTCCAAACGGTCTGTAATGTAAGGACGAGCTTTAAGTCATCAGAATGCTTTGTGAGAATAGCTTAGACTCTAGATGTCCTAGGTCAAGCCATCACCATCGCCATCTCTTTCTGAGAGGCATCAAATAAAAAAGACTAAACAAAAAGGTTTCCTCTCGCTCTGCATTCTGATCGGGAAGATCCACACCTTCTGCATTTATTTTTGGCTCCACGCTTTTTATTTTTTCTATTTTGCGACCAGTATGAAAATTGCATTTTTTTTATTATATGATTGTATATACATGCGCATGCAAGTTGCAAATAGTTTTCTGCAAATTATAAGTGGTTTTGTTCAGTTACTATTTTTGTATTATTATTACTATTATTATTATTATTATTATTGTTTGAAGAAAAAGCCTCTAAGTCTCTATTTCTTTAAATTGACCTATCCTTTTATTTTAATAATTTTATACAAATCATTATAAGTGACCTTTTTAATTTTTATTACACCATTTATAAGACTTTTTTACTACTATAATTATATTTCTTCTACACTAACCTCCTCTGCAAGATCTTTTGCTTCACTTTCGATGGCTTTGTTCTTTTTATAAGCCTGCGCCAAGTCTTCGGTGAGTTTTTCCATCTCTTTGTGAACAGTATCCCTTTCAGACATGATGAGGCTGTATTCCTGCATAGCAGCGTTCCTTTCTTCTGTGAGACGCTTTAAGTCTTTGCTGGCCTTCATGCGAACGGCCATCGCCTGGTTGACTTCTTTTACGGTCTCTTCATGCTGTTGCTGGACCTACAAAGCAGGATACTCATTTATTTATTTTTTATTTTTTTATATTGAATACTAACCTTAACCAAGGCCTCTTGGTACTCGTTCCTCTCACGGAGAGCAATGTCCCACTGCCTTATAGCAGCCGTGCATTGTTGTTTGAGCCCGTTTCTTTCCCTCACAGCGACATTCCTCTCAGAGACCATATCCTCGCATTGTTTCTTTATCCTTCCTACTTCTTCCTGAGCGAGTTCGAGTTTGTCAACAGCGGACGAGTGCGACGAGATGAGGTCGTCGTATCTCTTACGTAGGCTTTCATATTCTTCCTTCATCGCCTCATACTTGGATAAGGTCGTCAAATATAGCTGGTTCATGGCGTCTCCGTTCCCGTTGTCACCTTCCTGCAAGAACTACTTAAGTTTTAGCCTTTAATATTATTCGTATTTACCTAATATAAAATTTATACCTGACTGGATCGTAGATCAGAAACCAACTCTCCGTATTTGGTCCTCAAAGTCGAACTTTCCTGAGCGGCGGATTCTAATTGAGCCATTGCAGCGTGATGTTGTCCTCTGTAATATTCCAACTCTTTCATTGTATGTTCACATCTTCTAACCGTATCTGTATGCTGTCTACGAAAGTGAAAAATACATAAACACATTGAAATAATAAAAATTCGAGTAATTATTTAAATATTCTAAGATAACCTAAAAACTTACACTTTTTCATATAGTTTAGATGTATTTTAGCCAGTGCAATACAAGAAAATTAACATTAGCATTTAAATATTATTTATGAATTTATTGATTATATAATAAAAATTACCTCCTGAGGACTTGGAGTTCGTGCATGGCCTTGTCGCACTGTGATTTGAGTCCATCGTAATCTCTTGTGGGTATGTTGTCTCTAACTCTTTCCCGATCCGAAGTCGACACTGAATAACTACGAGTCAGTGTTTCTGCAACATGTCAGTTTTAAATTTAGCACAAGCGTAATTCATTTAAATAATACCGATGTAAAGAAGAGTGGAGGTGCATGTGCAGATGTTCATATTCCTCAGAAATAAGGGATTAAAAGTCTGGGGTCGATACAATGAGAAGTGGTTGTGAAAGAGCAAGAAAGGAAAAAAGCAAAGGTGAGACATTTGATTCTGGCTTCTTCCCACGGGATTATATAAAGGGAATAATTAGTCTATTGAAAATCAAATATGTTAACGTGATTTTTTTCTCAATATAAAATATTTTATAGATCTTAACTGATTATTGACTTCTAAGAAAGCTTTGGAATTATTTGAATTTTAATTATAATAATAACACCTCAATTTATCTTATTGGAATGATTCTTTTATATTAAAGTTAGCATTAAAATTGAATAATTATTTCTTACCATTGTTTGAAACACCGTCCAGTGACGAGTTGCCCAAAGACATTTTCTATCCACATCGAACTCCGTTCTTGTAACAAACCCTGGAAAAAGAAAAATAGGTTTTTTGTTGTTTTTTCTCAGTGCAGAAAGAAAACACTTTCCCCCCGACACAAGAGTGATATTTAGCCAACAGCCAACCATGAATTCTATGAATCGGAGCAGAACAAGAGCTCAACTAGAAAGATACACAATTATTGCCTAAACTGAAATTAGTTTTAGAGGGGAAAGTCCTTTCACAAATAACGCGAAAGTGCTAATTTGTCTTTTTATTTTGTTATATTACACCGCTTTGTTGTGCCGGTCTGGCCAATACACATTTTTTAAAAATTATTAGTTCAATTGAAACTTTCTCTTTTGATTGGCAATTGTCGATAACTTTTTACTTATAAGTCAATATCATAAATCTTATTGTTGAAGAGGAGTGGAAAGATAGTAAATGAGCTAAATGCAAATATATATTGCAGGGTTGAGGTTAATATAACATAACTGTTTAAAAAATAAAAAAATAATACAAACAGAACAAATTTGGTATTAAAGAATGAGAAAAAATCAAAGTTTGTTGTATTGATAACCATTAGAACTATTGGGTTGTCCGGAAAATAATGCAGGATTTTGGTATTAAACAAAAAAAAAGAAACTAGTTACTTTAAAGCAATGTTCTTTAATCAAAATAATTTCCCATACTCTCAATACATTTCTCCCAACGTGTTGGTAACTTATTAATTCCGTCTGAGTAGAATTCAGAATTTTTAGAATTGATAAAGTCAATAAATGCATTTTCCAGTTCCGTTTGATTTTTGAATATTATGTGTTGTAAGTAGTGGTCCAGGTGTCTAAAAAAATGGTAGTCAGTAGGCGAGAGGTCCGGAGAGTAGGGTGGGTGAGGCAAAGTTTCATAGCCAAGCTCCAATAATTTTTGTGACGTTACACGTGACACATGTGGTCGAGCGTTGTCATGCAACAAAATGGGCCCTTTCCGATTGACCAAAGAGGGCTTCATTACTGCCAATTTCTGATGCATGGTATTAATTTGGTTACAGTATGATTCAGCATTGATGGTTTCGCCAGGATTTAAGAAGCTGTAGTGTATTAAACCAAATGAAGCCCACCATACCGTAACCATTACCTTTTTTTGATGAGTTGGGGGCTTTGGAAAATGTATTGGAGCTTCTCCTTTGTCGAGCCACTGTCCAGAACGTCTAGTGTTATCGTAGAGAATCCACTTTTCGTCACATGTAACAATTCTGGCCAGAAATGGGTCATTTTTGTTTCGACAAAGAAGTGATGCACAAACATCAAAGCGCTGATTTTTTTGGCGATCGTTTAATGAGTGTGGAACCCAATTTTCGAGTTTTTTCACTTTTCCAATCGCCTTGAGGTGGTCAGCGACGGTCGTTTTACTGACTTTGAGTTGCTCTGCAAGTTCTCGAACAGTTGTTTTGGGGTTTTCTTCCACCACTGATCGCAGAACATCATCATTAAGAGAGGAAGGCCTTCCACGACCTTCTTCATCTTCAAGGCTGAAATCTCCCTCCCGAAATTTTTTAAACCACCTTTGCACAGTGCACTCATTAACACAACCCTCGCCCCAGACTTGGTTAATGTTTCTAGCCGTTTGGGCTCCGCTTCGGCCGAGTTTAAACTCGTAAAAGAAAATCGTACGAAATTCTCGCTTTGACATTATAAGGATGACTGAATTATTTCCAAGTAGCGGAATGCTACAGAGGTAAACAAACAATATCATTTGGAAGAGGATTAATAAGTGTTGACATTCATACAAATGAGTAATCCTGTAAACGTAAACAGAATATTTTATATAGATTTTTTTTAATGAAAACTTAAAATCCTGCATTATTTTCCGGACAACCCAATAATTTATTGTAAGATGATGGGTAGGAAATAAATTGTCTTTTCCACAATAGGTTTTTATTAAGTCAGGTGTGTTTCGGTCTAATATAGACTATCATCAGTGACTAAATAACAAAAGTAAAAATTATATAATAATTATATACAGGCTAATAATAACGAGTATACCAAAATGTAATATGATAATTAGAACGGTTTTAAATTTACATACCTTTTTTTATATAAAGTGATTTGACAGTTTTGTAGAAGAAGAATGTAAAAAAAAGCATGTAAAAAAGGTATGTTAATTTAAAGCCGTCTAATTATCACTACTGATTTTGGTATATTCTTTATTATTAGCTTGTTTATAATTATTATATAATTTGTACCACTTTTGTTATTTATGTTTATGATAGTCTATATTAGACCGAAACGCACCTGACTTAATAAAAGTGGTACAAATCATATAATAATTATATATATACAAGCTAATAAAAAAGAATATACCAAAATCAATAGTGATAATTAGACGGCTTTAAATTAACATACCTTTTTCATCCATACTTTTTTTTTACATTCTTCTTCTACAAAACTGTCAAATCACTTTATATAAAAAAAAAAGGTATGTAAATTTAAAACCGCTTTAATTATCATATTAGATTTTAGTATACTCGTTATTATCAGCCTGTATATAATTACTATATAATTTTTACTTTTGTTATTTACTCACTGATGATAGTCTATATTAGATCGAAATGCACCTGACTTAATAAAAACTTAACAAAAGTGATACAAATCATATAATAATTATATATAAAAAGGTTTTAAACACTTTGCAACCCTTTAGGCAAAGGCTCAACCTTTCGAGTGATTTACAGGAGTTACTGGGTCCCCAGTGTTTCTTTCGAAGAGCTCTTTTCAGTTTTCTCAAATTTATTGGAATTTATAATGAGATTTAGGCCTTTTCCCAAATTGTTATACCATTCAACGTTTGTGCGTGCAAGATTTTTTTTTTTCAGAAATTTTTGAGGCTACCAGAGCGGAAAAATGAAATGGAAGAAAATACAAATTGGGGGTAATAAACTGCAATGCCCAAAATCGCAATTTAAATAAGAAAGATAGCTCCCTCAAAAAGTGTTATTGTGTTTTGTTTTTTATTATTGTTATGTAGAATTAGTTTATTTATCATATTTGAATGGAAGAATGGAATGATAAGGATGCTGAGACTGTTGCTAGTCTGACTCCATTGTTATTATTATTATTAGCCATACAAGCCTATGGGAAATGTTTAAATTATGGAACAAAAATTAATTTAAAAAAAATGCAATAAATTTTAATGTAATTTAAAATGTGATTTTTGCATACATTTGGCCTTCCAAATTAAGAATTTTAAAAGGATAAATTAAAGCTTGGATGGTAATAGGATAAATTAGTTAATAAACGAGTGAATGTTTGGAGTCAGAGCCTTAAAGCACTGGGGATATAGCTAAACTAAGATGGAAAGTTTGAGATGTTAGGGCGTGAAATGACCTTAGCCGTTAAAATGCCCTTAAAAATTAATAATAATAACAAGTTTTAAAATGGAAAAACTACAGGGAATAGAGTAATTCCCTAAAAGGGAAGCCTGTACATGCGACATTGGCCTCACTGACAGAACCATTCTTCCGAGCAAAATTCCACTTCATAAATTCAATTATTCCAAATGTCGTATATTCCCAATCCCTTCACGTTGTTTCCGCAGGACGATGGAATGCTAAAAAGTTGCAAACTTTTTTTTTCTTGATTTATAACATTTAAATTGTACATACAGACATGTTTATATACCGATGAACTAGATTATCGACCTGCTGGAAACATGAAGTCTTTTCAGAGGATCTTCGGAAGAGGTCAAACAGAGAAAACTTCCTTACGGTTTTCTCTGTTTGACCTCTTCCGAAGATCCTCTGAAAAGACTTCATGTTTATATACATTAAAAAACCTATGTACCTCACGCAAGCAAGGGGAAATTGACGATATATCTACCAAATTGATAATGCTATAACGTATCAAGAAAAAAAAACCTTTTTAATTTAATCTGCTTACCTTCGTTTGTTCAACTTATTATAATTTTCCTACGAACTTAAACAATAAATGTTTTTTTCTTTAATTCATGTTTAAACTTTATATTTTAACATATCTATTCTGAAATTGTATTACAAATAAAAAATACATTATTATTATTACGATATTATTTATGTTTATTATGTAACAGAAAGGATTATTTAAAATGGTGGCAGGTTATGAATTAATTAGCATCAGCCTTTCAATAGTGTAAACTATAAGTTTATAAGCTTTGACATGCCCAGAATACAAAGAAGCAAGCAGAAATTTTTCGACAGGGGAGGTCTACGCTGAGAAATTTTGAGCGAACGTTTTGCTGGGCTCGCCTTTCAACTGGAAATGTGGAAGTGTATAAATTGATATATGCATTTTTGAAAGAATGTGATAATGCAATATAGACTTTATTGTCGATACGCATGTATTATGGTAATTATTTGTAAAACTATTTTTATACAAATCAAAAATAAACAAATTTTAATCCTCACTTTTAATACCGGATTTACTTAGGAATAGTAAACATGAAGATTATTCATTTTGTAAACAAACACCGTTTCTCGTCTTTTCTAACATTTAAAACCAGTTGTATTCTCTTTAATCATGGAAAGACATAAAAGTCCGTAATATTCTTGTGAGAATGAGACATCGACTTCACCACAAGTGGATATCGTAGAGGCAGTTGGCGTTTCACAGAGAGTGGTCTCCCGGGCTTTAGCCCGATTCCGAGAGACTAGAAGTAGTATATACTCCAAAAGGAGGACTGTTGGTGGATCTCAGCGTATTATGACGCTAAGGGAGGACAGAAATATTGTCATTGCTGCAAGACAGAATCCTTTCTACAGTACCTGCCAGATCCTAAATGAAGTACAAGATGTTTTGGCAAGGCCTTTATTATTCATAATTGTTTGAGGGAAGTTGGCCTCACATCGAATGCCTCTTTGAGACGACCTAGCAACAGCCCGCCCCAGCAACTCAGGAGAATATGGTGCAACAAGCGCCTAGAAGGGAACATCAATTGGAATTCTGTTATGTTTACTAATGAGTCACGTTTCTGTCTGTACAGTGATAGCAGGCGGCAAAGTCTACCGAGAACAGGGAT